CTCCGTCTGGATTCTACAGGTATCAACGTAGACGGCGAAGGAAGTCCTGATCCTTCTACAAGACGACAGCCTTTTACCTGGGATTGTTACGAGTCTCTAGTCAGTGGAACATTGCCGAACTGCCGCTTTGGAACGGGCCGAGAGATGCAAAAGTACTGAGGTTCATTTATTCGTGTTTTCTTATCGCTTGAAGTTATGCCACCTTCTGACAGGGCTGAAGGTGGGTTAAAGAATTCTGTTCATAGGGTCCCCCAAATATCGTACGGCTTTTTCATCGAAGTTGTCATGTCTAGGTCTAGCCCTTGACAAAACGACGTCTAACTATATGGCAGCGGTGACATTGGCGGCACTGTTTCTTCATGGAAATCGTCCCTTTCGGCTGGACATAGGGCTGTCATTTGGCATTGTAACCCTGAGGATCGAATTTGCCCAGTTTGAACTACCCATGTCCTGATGGTCTCACCGCTGTGTTTTCACGATGCTTATTTGTCGCAGCTAACCTCCATTTCTTGAGGTCGTTATCCATTTGTCAAAAAATTATTTTATTTGGGCAAATTTAAGTCCATTAAAGACAAAGTGATTTCGAAGCATATCCGATCTATTTCTATGACGATTTCTACAGTAGAAACATGGGATTCTTTTGCTGCGTGCTCCTATTTTCATTGGACTTTTCTGACGATTTCCATCATTCTCTATTTCACACTTCGAAAGGCGTAGATCTTGAACCTTTCTCGTGCTCATGTTAGAAATGGGACATCTGTACATGGGAAATTTAGTATGCATCGGCCGAAGTATTCTTTATCAGGTGCATAATTTGTTTATTATTTATTTAGAGCTTACGCTGATCACTTGTCAACTATCAGGCGGGACACGTGGGATTATAACCATTAGGCCGCGCATCGATAACATGAACGTTTGCTTCGCACGTTGTAGTATGACTACACAAGAACACCTTGGTCTCTCTGTTATCCTCAATTCAATGGCTTATTACTCTCTGATAAATAGCATCCATGTCGGTGTGGCACAGTGTGGAACAGAAGAGTGCCTCGAACTCTGGAAATGATGAGTTTGATTCTACTGGAGGGCAATCTGTGATTCAGCAACAAATTTATCACACGTTGTTTCAGACCATGGTTACTCATTCGACAGACCGTCGAACTCACAACCTTAGAGTTCCGGGTTCGAGCCCCGGTGGGGATCATTTGCCTTTTTCCTTACGAGATTGATAAGCGAGTTCACTTTGTGAAAGGGAAAGAGGATACTACGCACTACCATAGCTACATAGCTGCTGTCGACGTTGCTTTTAAATTGAGCATTATGTGACAGATAACATGGAATGGTGACTAGCGATTCACCATCAACTTCATGTATAAAAGACAGGGCGTCAGAATGGCGTCATCAAGAAAGTGTAAGGAAGACCGTAGCGGCTGCGAATCTTTTTTCCCTTTCATGCTTGGGGGGATGCACCTAAAAATCATCACTAAACAAACGAGGACACTTTAGGACCGTTGCATCACCGAACCGTGGCCTCTGGCAATGGCAAAATTATTGGCAGTGGCTGTAATCCAAATACTGTTGATTGCATTCATCAAAGTTATTTGGACTCTATTTTCCAAAGGCGGAAGAGTTGAACAAATGTACGGTTCGGTAAATACTTGCTCGAGGAAAACAGTTGCTAATAATAGAAAATTTGTGCCCCCCCTCCCAGCACCAACAGTTTAAAGTCAGAACTTCTAGAATGCTGAGAAGACTGTTAACTGAAACTTAACTTCCCAGATCAGTTGCCTTTTCAAAATCACGCGTAACTCGCGTACAGGACACGCACCAAAACAAGTTTTAACACGATTAGCGACATTTCCTCAAACAGAAACTGCTTCATAGCCATTCCAAGAATGGTGCACCGTTGTTCACTTCGCAACTTGACAATAACACTGACATAAATCATCTTCCACTTAAAAGGATGACAACTTTATGTATAAATTCGACTCGCCATCCGAGGTGCCACGACGGATGTTATTTTATTTTATTTCCATTTTTCGATATTATCCACAACTCATCACATGAATTTGCTGACATCACTGTAGCAGGCCACGAATCTTCATGTTACGTTTGTATTGCATCTCATCAGACCAAAATTCACATTACTACTAAGTACACAAAACAGCTCTTCAAAGGAATCATCCGTAAATGTCTGTAAATGCTGCTGCCATGCATGAAATCATTGATTGAGCATCCATCCTGAATATAGATAAATAATGTAATTTAACCCACCGCTAATGATGTATAGACGAGATACGAAAAAAAACAAGTACACGTCTAGAATACGTGTTTTCATTCTACGCTCAGAAAGTAGGAATCAGTCAGCAATAAAATTCGTAGCACTTATGGTCTTCCATCCCAGGGTTTAGCCAGTATCCTCGTTTAGGCTGGTTTACTTAAATGACATAAAACGGTCTGGCAAACCGTTTCAGGGTTAATGAGAGTTGTTCATGACAACGGAAAATAACCTCATTTGCAACCTCGCCCCGAAATGAGGCCACGTACTTCTATGACGCAAACAATAGGTTTACAGTGGTAGACTGCCATAGCATAACTTCCTTATGCTCAGACTTTGTTGATTATTCAACTTTCACAGCACTTCACGCTTTGTTTCACTCTATTTTGAGGTGATTGATTGTTTCATTTAGCTGTGACAATGCACCGGAGAACAAAAATGACGTTAGGCAACATTAGCATAACTTAAGGCTTAGTTCAAGATGTGACAGCTGCCAAACATAAAGCATGCTCGCGTGAAATTATGAAACGCCCTTAATAGACCTTCCTGTGACGTTGTCATTGTTCATTCGGTTGTCTGGATTCTATACAATTCATATATGGCTGTTATTCCATGTTTAATCATGGCTTACCAAAAGTTAGGCTTTGATAACTACCGTCCAGATAAACATATTGCTGTAGCATTTCTTGACTGATACAGCGACAGCGTAATCTCACCGTTTCCTTATTTGCAGATATTTTGGAACATTTAAAATAGGCCACGGCAATATGTTAGCATAACACTTTCAGTGCGTAGATTAATTACCTAATCTTTATGTTGGTTCGAACAACACGTTTGCGAAGCATTCAAAAACCTTTTTCCGTTGATTCACACATTAACCAGTTAATATTTGGTCATGTTATGTGCTGGTACTTCGAACATGTTATTTCGATCAAACAGTGATGGACATTGACCCATGTACGTGCTGTAATATCATAGAACCATAGCCTGTTTCAACGGTCATATAACTGTCTAGATCATTACGCCATGTAAGGCCAGAAAAATGGCAGGAATTTGAGGAATCTGTCTTCCCAATATCAACACACACTTTGCAAGCTGATTATAAACTAAGTTTTTTGAGTAGCGAGCCTCGCTTAAATGAGAGTGCTAATCTGTTTGTTTTCAAGTGTCTCTTGTTTGTTCTTCTTCAAATATAAGGTTCTTACCGATTGCATGCACATGACGTTGGAACGTTTTGCTCAGTTTGCTCGGTCACCAACATTTAATAAGATGGTATAGATTCCCATATCGGGTAAGCAGCTGGAGATTAGTTATTCTGATAAGGGGACAGAAGCAAAATTATGTCTATAAACTTTCCTGCTAAGGTGGCTAAACTTGCACTGAGGAAACGAACAAAACTCTTGAGGAACTTTCGGGAGATAGAGCAAAGAGAAACCTCATCAAATGGAAGAAAACTTAGGACAGGGTAAAAACTCTCCAACAAGTAGGAAGAAAGCGCAGACAACGAAAGAATCTGAAACGGTGAAAGCGGAATAATTATAAATTCCGCTGTGGGGCATCATGAAATATTCTATTAGCTCATCATACTTGTTAGAAAATGCAAGGAATTTGCATGACGGCACTGCTGATCCGCACGAAGGAGCGGTTCTGCTCCGCCTAGAAGCAAAGGAGCGACGCCAAAGAGCTGCTGGTGTAAAATTGATTTTTCTTTCTTTGCACTATAAATTCGCCGTTTCAATCCGGTATCAATATTTTTACTGTAATTTAAAGATGGTTTTTGCATAGTAGTGACGTCAGCAAAAGTAATTTTGCGTAAAAGCGTTCACAACGTACCGTTTGCAAAGCTTTGCTTGCGCCCATCAAATCTTTAATACTGCAATGCATGACGTAACCGTTGTCGTAGGCGGAGCAATCCTCTCGTTAAATGCCTGTACTCAGTTGGCAATTGATAAGTTGTTGTAAATAATAATCAAGGAACGAGCCTCAATAAATAATGTCGAAATTCGATGACTAAAGAAATAGCATGTTTCAGTAAACCGCGATTCAACTGGCAACGGGAATAAAAGTTCTATGCATTCCCTGTTCATCAGCTGCTTACATTGGATTTGACAAACACAAGTTTTAGCAGATAACTAATAATAGAATAAAAATTAATTTGTTTTTCAATTTTTCTCCAACAATGCAAACTCCCGCAATCTTGCCCTCATATACTCTGTTATCCGATTTCTCGACAGAAAGGGACCGCATACACATCATAAAATGTTAATGTGTCAGAGTATGTTAAACGGTACATAACTTCCCCAAGACCAGATTTCACAGCGTACTGTGTTCATGTCATACAATTTGAGAAATGACAGTTATTGTAACCGCAATCGTAACAGCAATCGTAATGTGCGCGAGGTGGCTCAAGGGAACAAATAGAAGCGAGATGAAACTGGCATTGTGTGTGTTTGTGCTCAAATACCAAGGTACCAAAGACTGCTTAAATGCCCTTCCCCATCCCCAATGCAAATAGGAGCAAGAAGACTGTGGAATAAATGGTGAAATCTGGGCCTGGAGGTGTAATGCGTTATTAAAAAGGTCGTTACAACAAATAAACCCGCTCATGGTATACCTGGA